AGCGGAAAAATGTGCCTCGGCATTGTGGTGCCTCAGCATTGTGGTATAAGAGTAGGATGTCAATTTTGAATAATACAATTTTCTCCTATTATTCTAAAATTTTATTTTATGAGTATGTTGATTGGTTGTGAGTTTTAAAATACCATTATTTAGTTTATATAATTTTTAATAAAATAAGTTATTTTTTATTTTATAAAATATTATATCAAAATATTATTTAGATAAAATTTTAAATTAATATTATATTTTAAATCAATTTCAAATTTCACAATAAAATAAATAAGATTTTTTCATAATAAACTATTTATATATTTATACAAACTATATTATACTCCTTCCGTTCCGAGTCTGATGATCCTTTTAATTAGGGAGGCGATATTTTAAGTAGTGTAGATGAATAAATTAATATTTTATTATTTTTATATGAGTAGTATCGTTGATATTTTAAATATTTTTAATATATTTTAACAAAATATAGTATACATTGACAATAAAATTTTATATAATACAAATAAATAAAATTTATATATTTATTTATAATTAATTTAAAACTAATTTTATAAAAAAAATGAGAAACTTTAAATATAGATTAAAAAATATTTGTTTATTAAGATGGAGATTTAAATAAAGAATTTTTGAATGGTACGTTTAACGGATTAAAAATTTATTTAAATTGATTTATATTTTCTTCATTCCAAATCAAAATACTTTTTTTACCATTTCTTGTTGTCCTATTTAAAAGTATCTACTTTATATTTTAGATTAGTAATTATAAATAATACCAAAATATTATTTAATTTTATTTAAAATACAAACATATCATTATACTTACAATTACCAAAGTCAATTGATAAAAATATCAAAATTTTGTACACATTGTTACTATTATTTCTTAATCTACTATGAAATCACAAACGACCTCTTTCAATTGAGATGAAAAAAGTATTTGTTAAATATACGTAAATTGAATAAATTTACTAAAAAATAAAAATAATCATATTTCATGGGACAAGAAAATACTAAAATTTTGCAAGTTTTCTAATTATAAAAATCTAAACTTTTTGGTAAATTTTATTTATTTATAGAAAATTTCCTTTTTTACCTTTTCTTCTATATATAATTTATAAATTCTTATCAAAAGGCAAAATAGTAAAAACCTATCATAATTATATTGTTGAGTGAAAAAAATCAATGTGTAGGGATTTCGAGAATGAGCTCATAAATTGTGCTATAGACTGGTGTATAGTTCGATGAGCCTGTCAATGGTATTAGGATCTTAAATGAGTTTGAATATAAGCCCAATGGTCAAGGCGCTATTAAGGAATGGGCTTCTTCGGGAGAACCTTTGACTGGGTGATCGGTTGATATGGAGGTCGGACAAGGAGAGGTCGGACAAAGGAAAAAGGAGACAGTAGGCGTTTAGGTTGGTTGGCATGGAGGTCGGACAAAGGGAAGTCGGACGAAAAAAGATAAAGCGGTCGATACGGAGGAAGGTCGGGCAAGGGAAGGCGAAGTAGTGGGTGTTCAGGTAGATGAATAGCAGTTCTAGAGCAGTTGGAAGAAATTACAACCGGTGAGCGGGTATGGAGGCACGACCTGATAATGACATTGGGGTGGTTGACATGGGTTGTTAAATAGGTCTTTTTACGATCTGGAAGAGGCATCTTCAATCGACATCAAATTCAGTAAATTTCTTTTGGGATCATCCTTTTACTTTTACAAGTCTTTAGTATTTTCTTTTCTTCAATTTCTTTATATATCGTACGGTGTTTAAGGATTCTTAATTTCAGGCATCTTAATAATCAAATTCAAAAATAATTTCTTTTTTCATATTTTACTTTTTATTGTTGAAAATCAGTATCAACACATATTATCTAAAAAAACACTTTGACAATAATAAATATGAAAAAGTTGGGTGCGCAAAATATTTTTATCGAACCGTCAAAACCATTGAATTGAATCCAATTTTCACTTAATCGAGCAAATTCGGTTAAAATACAAATACTGTATATTTTATATTTGTTAGATTAAGTTCACTTTCGATTCTCTAACATTTTTTCGATTATATTATTTTTATTTTAAAATTCATATTAATAATTCTCTTCTATTCTATTCAGTTCGAAATATTGTAAATATTTTTCATTCGAATAAAATTTTAATTATTTTAAAATTATTTAATTAAAATTTGGTTACACCGGTTCAAATTATTTGAAAATACTGCAAATATTTTTTATTAACCAAAAATTTAATTTTATCTCATTACATCACTCCAATAAAAACTAATAATAATTATAATTATAGGCTTTTATTTCTTATCGTATTACCTATTTTTTAATTTATTTTATTTAATACTATATACTTAAATTTTCATATGAAAAAGACATAAGGAATAGTATTATTATAATTTTAAATAAGACGGCCGCTACAGTGGTAAATGTAAGCTGAATAACTCTGTATATAATAAAAACTGTATATTTTTTTTTTATATTTTACGTACGTTAATTTAAAGCACAGCGATAATTTTCCAAATTCATCACCTCCGTCTTTCCCTTCAAAAAGAATATAAGAATATCTAATTATTATACAACAACATCGACTAATAAAAAAATAAATCAGTGATAATTCAAAATTATAAAAATAGAATATTTTTATAAAAAAAATTGTCTATAGAAAACAAAAAATATAATGATGACTCTGGATTTGTTTATTTGTTGGATTGAATTTTACTAATCGGTCGAATCAAACTCTTTTATTTTATTTTATTTATTAAAAATTAATTTTATATTTAAAGTATAACATTAATACCTATATTTAAGTATTTAGAAATCGAACCTAAAATTCAAATATTCGCTTTTAAGTGTTTGTTTGGAATTTTTTTTTTTTAAAAAATAATATTGTTAATAATATTTTTTTTAAATACATCAAATCAAATTTTCTTTATTATACTAAAAAAAATTATATTCAAAATATCAAATCTAAAAATTATTTATATCGTATTAAACAATTATTTTAATTTAAATTTAATTTAAAATTTAAATTCAAAACGAGAACCCCAAACAAATACACCCTAAGGGTTTGTTAATTGTAATTTAAAATTAAATTGAAATAAAATATTATCAAATTTAAATTAAATAGTATTTTGATTTGATATTTTATAAAAAAAATAATAATAATACTTCTTCAATTCCTATAGACGGATTAATTAGTGGCACGATATTTAAAGTAATTAAGCTTACTAAATTAATAATAATAATAATAATAATAATAATAATAGATTATCATATTATTTTATTATTTTTTATAAGAATGGTATTGTTGATATTTTTAAAATACAAAATAATATACACAAATAAAAGAAATTTAGAATAAATATTTAAATATTTTAAACACTGCAGGGTTTATTTTTTTATATTTTTTTTTACATATATTTTTCAAAAAATATTAATATATCACATATATGTATTATCTTTTTAGTTTTTACATAATTAGCTGCACTTCACATGAAAAAAATATTCTTTTAAATTATCTCACTAAACAAACACATCATGTATTTCAATAAAAAAATATATAATATGACTATTTTGTAATAGAAAATAAAATTTTATATAATATAAATAAATTACAAATATATTTATTTATTTATGATTAACATATACTAATTTTATAAAAAAAAAATAAAGAATTTTAAGTAGAGATAAAAATATAAAGAAGTTTTGGATGGTCTATAAACAGTCCTTCCGTCCCATAATAAAATATCCATTTTTTTATTTTCTCATAACAAAGTATCTAATTTTTTTATAGTAACTGTACTGTCTACTAACATCACAAATACCCTTACAACTTATTATATATTACACAATTACCTTTATATCACACAATACCGCTAAGATTATTTTAGTCATTTGTACTTTATTCTTACTGCATCGGAAAAATTATTAAAAATTTAATTAGATTAACTTATTTTCTTAAATATATATAAAATTTGTTAAATTTATTAAAAATTAAAATAGATCGAATGACAAATTAAAAAAGGACAGATATAATGTACTTCTTTCATCCCAAAAGAATTGTTTTGTTTTTCTATTTTCATCCATTACAAAACAATTGTTCGTTTTCTTTATTTAGTAATCATAGTTTCCATTTTATAACAAAATTATATATATTTTTTCAAACTATCTCTAATTATTATTTTAACTTACTTTTTAAAATTCTAAAAACACAAAGGCATTTCAATATTTTACATTTTAAAGACATCTCTTTTGGGACGAAGGGAACATTTTTCTTAAAAAAATTATTTCGATATAGCAGCCAAACAAAAAGTTTCAAAAATATTAAAATATTAAAAATATTTAATGCAATATTTATAAAAAGAAAATAAATATTTGATATATTTAAAAAAATAAACAATTTTTTATTTAATGAATATTTACAAAACATTAAAAATATATACGTACCACTCCATCCGTCACATAACAAATTATCCATTTTCTCATTTTAGTTTGTCTCATACCAAAGTATCTTCTTTCTTAGTAACTGTATTATCTATCTAACATTACAAATACTCTTACAACTTACAATATATTACACAAATATCATTACGTTTATAATATATTACACAAATGTCATTAAAATAACAAAGTTATTTTAGTCGTTTCTACTTTATTTTTAGTATATCTAATATATAATATTAATATTTCTAAAAATGCGTCAAAAAGCAAATGAATATTTTTTTTTGAAAGGGAGGGAGTATTGTCTTATCAACCCTAGTTTTCCAACTTGTAAATTCAATAAGAATAGCTAAAGCAGTTCATACATTATAAAAATAAATAAATAATAAACAAAGTAAAAATAAATAAATAAATATATAAATAAAGTAAAAATAAATAAATAAATAAATAAATAAAGTTATTCACCTAAACCCTTTTCACAAGAGAGTCGACTTCTGAGAGTCCATTTACCAATTACCGATTACCAGCCACAAACAGCATCACCTGTTCAAATAAACCCCTCTCTCTCTCTACTCTCTCTCTCTCTACTGTTGGTTCTGTATTACAGTGGTACAGATTCACTCCCCTTTTCACATGTCTCATGAAAGTGTATTCATCCCTCCCTACATCCATTTCTTAATTCGAAACTCACCAAATCGCTCTTCTTCATTGTCAATGTCATTAACACACCACTAGAACCAAAAAAAAAAACAAAAAAACATACGATTCGACTCCCATTTCCATTTCCATTTCCATTTCCCAAAATATGATTTCAATTTCCCCCAAAACCCTTTGATTTCTTCTGCTAAAAACCTCTCTCAGATCTCTCAATCAATCCTCAGATTGACTTACATGAGGATTCCTAACTTAAATTTTTCTCAGAAATGTCGTCTTTACACCCAAAGTCCCATGATGTCGTCGACTTAGAGTCCGCTACTTCCATTCCCGCCGCCGCCGGAGAAGAAGGGGAAAACGCCCAATCCGCCGCAACAGAGATTAATGGCGACAAAAACAAGCATCATCAGAAATGCGAATCCAACTGCTCAGATTGCTCGGTGGAGATTTCATCGATTTCGGATCTGCATTTTGGTGATAAAATTATTAGGGATTGCCGGATTTGCCATCTGAGTATGGATTTGAGCAGCCACCATGATTCCGGCGGGATTCCGATCGAACTCGGCTGTTCTTGCAAAGAAGATTTGGCTGCTGCCCACAAACAATGTGCTGAAGCTTGGTTCAAGATCAAGGGCAACAAGTCAGTCACTAATTTTATTCAATTTTCATTTTTTTGTCATGTTTATTTATCTCATTTCATTACAATCTTAATTTTCGAATGTTTGCTTTGTAGTTGTAGTATGATGATCTTTGGCATTCTTTTTTACATCTATATCTATGTTTCGTCGAAATGGGATTGAAAGAGTTCATTCTACATCGATAAGATATCCCTATATAGTGAAGATATTTATAGATATTTGTATCGAGTGTTTGTCGTGGCTGTCTCCTCGGTGTTCGTTTCAATAATTCATTGATGTTGTAAGAAAATTTTCGAACTAATGGTATTAGATCAAAATTGGATAGATTTTGTGAAGTTTTGTTTGGTAAATTTTAGTATTTGTCGAGTATATGGTGTTCGTTTAGATAATTCATTGAACTATTAAGAAAATGTTCTAACTAATATATTAGAACGGGATCGGATAGCTTTTGTGAAGTTTCAGTTGGTAGATTTTAGTTTTCGTCGAGTATATGATGTCTGTTTCGATAATTTGTTAAAAGTTCTAAGAAGAATTTATAACCAATGGTATTAGAATGGGATCGGATAGCTTTTGTGAAGTCTTGTTTGGTAGATTTTAGTTTTCGTCGAGTATGGGTGTTCGTTTCAACAATTTGTTGAAGTTCAAGAAAATTTTCTAACAAGTGGTATTAGAATAGGATCGATGAAGTTTCTTTTAATATATTTTAGTTTCATTTAAGCATATGGTGTTCGCTTTAAGAAAATTTTCTAACAAGTGGTATCAGAAAGGGATTTGAATGCTCATATGAGATTTGATTAGGTAGATTTTAGTTTTCTTCGAGTATATAGTGTTCATTTCGATAATTTTTTTAATTTCATATAGAACAAGAACGGAAAAGCTCATATGAAATTTTGCTTTTTAGATTTTAGTTTTGTTGAGTTTCCGGTGTTTGTTTCGATATTTTTTTTTAAGTTTGAGAAAGTTTTCTAACAAGTAGTATCAGACGTGAAATTTCGTTGTTTAGATTTTATTTTTCTTTGAGTATACGGTGTTCATTTCAATAATTTTTTGAAGTTAGAGAAAGTTTTCTATCATTTGGTATTAGAACACGAACAGGAAAGCTCATATGAAAATTCGTTTGTTAGATTTTAGTTTTGTTTGAGTTACAGTATTTGTTTCGATAAGTTTTTTATGTTTGAGAAAGTTTTCTAACAAGTGGTATCGAATGTGAAATTTCGTTGTTTAGATTTTACTTTTGTTTGAGTATACAGTCTTCGTTTTGATAATTTTCTGAAGTTCGAGAAAGCTTTCTAACACGTAGTATCAGAACACAAACGGGAAAGCTCATATAAAATTTTGTTGTTTAGATTTTATTTTTGTTTGAGTACACGGTGTTCATCAAAAAAAATTTCTAACAAGCGGTACCAGAACGGGATCGAAAAGCTCTTACAAAGTTTCGTTTATTAGATTTTAGTTTTGTTCGAGTATATAGTGTTCGTTTCAATAATTTATTAAAGTTCAAGAAAATTTTCTAACAAGTGGTATCAAAGAGGGATCCCAAAAGCTCATATAATATTTGGTTTCGTAGATTTTAATTTTCTTCGATAATAGCTTTGCCTATTTTTGCAATCCCCGTTTACGTGCGTATTTTTGCTCGACGTTTTTTGTTGATTATTGACGCGATAAGACAAAGTGATCGACAACGAAAAAAGGCGAAGAGGTGAGGCAGCAAAGTGGTTTTGTTCAGTGTAAAGATTTCAATAATTGAGCTTTTGCTTTGGACAGTTCACAGCTTTAGCTCTTGATAAGAACTAAAAGGGCTGAGGAAAAAGAAAGATTCCGGAAACAAACAGCGAAAAAGCTTCGAAAGAATCTGTCGTAGATAAAAAGATCGAAGCACTAGGAACAGTTTCGCACCCGACTGCCTTTTCGCCTTTTTTTGACTGATTTTGTTGTGTTCTTACAGGAATTTCTTTACTGCTTTGAGATATCAATGTTGTCTGTTTATCAGCATCTTGCGCTTGATGCCCTCTTTTCCGAGACTCTATTTTTGTTGGTCTAAAGACTCGATTTTTTTAAGTGTTGAAAAGCTGTATATCTTTTTTTTTTTACCGATCATAGTTAAACTCGATTTTAAATTCTCAGAACCTGCGAGATATGCGGATCGATCGCGCAGAATGTATCGGGGGTTGCCGAGACGGATTCCGTGGAACAGTGGAACGAGAGGAGCGAGGCTGATGCTGCGTCGACGACAACGACGGTGGCGCCGAGTTCAGATTCGCGAAACTTCTGGCACGGCCACCGGTTCCTCAACTTTCTGCTGGCCTGTATGGTTTTTGCGTTCGTTGTCTCGTGGCTTTTTCACTTCAACATACCCTCGTGATGCCGCTGGCGGGGCTGTGCCGCCGTTGGCCTGGCGCTCCGGTGAGTGCTCCGGCAAGCGAACTTGGTTGCTGTCTTTCGGGACTCTGCCGGAAGCATATGTACGTTAGTTTGTACAATGTTACCGTTGGATATATATATATATATATAAACATATATGTATACAACTTTAGTTTCTTCAAGCTATGTGCTATGAAGTTGGATGAATTGTGGTTGATTTACTATTATTGCTATTGTTATTTTATTTTTTTTGTTATTAAAAACACAAACTTTTGGATGATAGAGAATATTAAAAACACAAACGTGGAATATATATATAACATCTATTTGCATTTTGCAAGTAGTTTTAAAAATATTAGTATTATATTTGGATATAGTAGGAATAAAATAGAAATGATTAAAATAACTTTATTAGTATGTACGATATAAAGATGATGACATTATTGTAAGAGTATTAAGTAGATAGATACTTTATTACGGAAAGGAAGGAAGAGCGAGGGGGGAGGGAGTAATAAAATTTATGCTTATAAAAAATTGCATATTTGTGTTAATGAATAAAGTGTTCAATTTTTAAATTTCAAACATCACATTTGGCAAGAATAATTTTATATTTCCTTAGTGTTATAAAATCATGTTCACCAATCACAATTTATTTGTACACTTGATTTGACTCTTTCCTTGACGTGGAACTCTGTGATGAAGAAAACAAAAAATAGTATTTTAATATTTCTCCTGTTTAATAATAATGTATTTTTTTTATATTTTTAATAAATTAAAAAATAATAATATTTTATTAGTTATTAAAAATATATAAGAGTATATTTTTTTAGAGGGCTTGCCCCAATTTACCGTGTACATTATATTAGGCGCCAAACTCCCTCTTTTTCTTTTTTTTTTTTTTTAAATTAAAAGTTTATTTAATATTTATTATAATTAAATGAAAAAAATATATATATAATATATATGTTATTTTATAGAAAATAAATTTTTTTATAATACAAATAAATAAAAATTTATATATATATTGGATATAATATAAATTCATAATAAAATCATACAATATAAATTTTATCAATTAAATTTAATACATATTTATATTATTTTATTTATTATATATCAAATCAATACACATCAAAACTCCCCAAACTCCAATCAAATCCAAACACAAAAGAAACAACAAAATCCTAACTCATCCCAAAGTTCAAATAAAAATCAAACCCAAACCCAAACCCAAACCCAATTTTTCCCAAACTCCCTTAAAGAAACATATCCTAAATTAATTTTGACATTATTATTCTTTCCTACGTTATACAGTATATTTGTAATATATATAAAAGTTAAAGATATTATAATATTAGAATATGATTAATTATATAATAAAAAACTATTTTTAAATGAAATAAAGGAAAATGAAAAGGATAAAAAAAAAATAATTCAATAGAAACATAGAGAATATTAAGTTTTTTGTACTTTTCATAATGATAGAATTAAATATTCTACGTTATTTTCTTTCTTTCCATATAAGTGGAGATGTTTTCTTATATTTTATATTCACAACAAAGAAACTCAACTGTCTGTTTTCCAAGGCTTGTTTGCCGGAAAACATTGTGTAATTATGCATAGTATTTTCTCTCAAATCAGCCAGATTCCCCATTGAAGGACAAAGGTTGCAAATGCAGCTTTTGCTGCATTCTTTTTTTTTTTATTAATACATATATTTTTTAAATATTACATTTATTTAATATTTATAATAATTATAGGATAAAAAAATATATAAAATATATACGTCATTTTGTACGGAATAAATTTTTCTATAATATGAATAAATTTTTTTAAATATATATATTGTGTATAATATAATTTCATAATTAAATTATACAATATTAATTTTATCAATTAAATTTAATACATATTTATATTATTTTATTCATTATCCATCAAATCAATATACATCAAAACTCTCCAAATCCCAACCAAATCCAAACACAAAAAAATAACAAAATTCAAATCCATCCCAAAATTCAAATCTAAACTCAAATCCCCCCAAACCCGTCTACAAAAACACACCCTCAGTTTCAATATATTTTTTATTAATTTTTATTTTCATATATATATATATATACTCCCTCCGTCCCACATAATTTGTCCGTATTTTTTATTTTCATCCGTCCTACATAATTTGTCCGTATTTTCTATTTTCGTCCGTCCCACATAATTTGTCATTTCTATTTTTGAAAATATAATTATGCACTTTAATCGGATTTTAAATTTTAAATTTTATAATTTTCTTAATTTTAATTAAACTATTTACTTATCTTAATCTTAATCTATAATTATTTTTGCTAAATAATAATTATTTTTACTAATACACTTCTTAATTACTCACTAATTATACTTTACCCAAATTCCCGTTTTTACAGCAATACGCCCATATTACATGAGACGGAGAGAGTATTATTCATTTAATTATTTTATTTTGTAATTAATAATTACACGAACGAGTTTCGCTATTGGCAGCCGTCACGACAGACCAAATAGAAACCCTTGAGAAGTTGGAATTCGAAAAGCAAATTATCCCCTTCACAAAGATGCTAACCTGAGTTCCAAGGAAAGTACAAGTGCATGCAACATACACAATGATTTTTCACACAATTCAATTTACATCAGGGACAATTTATAACCATTCTACCACTCCAATCCTAAAAATGGAACTGTAAAGCAAAAACTAAAAAAATTGATACATAATATACCAGCACGAACCCAAAGATAGCAGATCTACCGAACAATCCATTCTCTTTCCATGCAAATAACCATTCAGGCCGAACCAAAAACCGAAGATCAAATTCACACGGCCACTCATCACAAACCTTAGAAATAATCCCGAATCCCAATTCCACCAAATCGACCGCCAAAAACCCGAAGAACAATCGAACACCGGTGGCAAGCGCGTATACCCAAATCAAAGAGTCGCAGTGATCGGAAACGCCCAAGGAAACCAAATAGCAGATAGCAACCGCTGAATTCAGCAACAAAGGCAGAAACAAAGAAGATTGGATGGAATGAGAAAGTTGGGATCGGCAAAAAGCCGCCGTTGTTTTCAACGCAAACGTATCTATGTACTGTACAGGGAGAAGATATTATATTAAATAATAATATTAATATTATTATAATTATTTTATTATTATTATTATATGGTTGGATGAGCCACTGACGGAGCCCGTGCGCACCACACCACTGACCATCTGCTGTCAGTCAATTGTATATTTTTCTTTGAGTATAAAAATATATACTAATATATTATTATTTTTTTAATTATTTTTTTAAATATTTAAAATTGATTTATTTTGAAAAAAATATTTTTGTTGAATTATAAATATATATCAAATAATTTTAAGGAATAAGTGAATAATAAATATGACTATAGAAAACAGGGTCGTAAACATTATATAGAATATGACTGTGTTGAGAACTGAGTCATGAACATTAAGAACATGACCGTGTTTAGAACACGGGCAGAACACGACCGTGTTCTTTAGTGCAGGGTAATCAAAACGACCGTGTTGGCTGCTGAGATGCCCTATCACTCTTCTGAGTCATCCAACACGGTCGTGTTCAAGTCAACACGTCCGTATTCAGTCTCACTCGACCATTATGAGACTAAAATTGATAAATTATCATTTGAATAAGATCAAAATTGATAAAAAAATTTAATGAGATCAAAATTAATAATTATGATACTAAATAAGACCAAAAACGAATTTTGCTTATTAATATAATACTAATACTCCCTCAGTCCTAGTAAAAGATTGTCATTTACTTTTGTCACGTTGTTTTTTGTATATTAATATTAGGCAAAATTGCTCATAACTCCCCTGTGGTTTCGAAACTCAACGTAAATTCCACATCTACTTTAAAAATTGTATGACGTTCGCTTATACCTTAAAAAATTTTGTATGAAACTACTTTGTGGTTTCGAAACTCAGCATAAATCCCCATTTTACTTTAAAAAATTGCATGACACTCACTTATACTTTCAAAAATATTGCATAAAACCCCCATGCCATGCAAAACATATAGATATGAAATCATCATCTTATCACATGAGGAAAGTTTCATGGTGGTGAGGTTTCATGCAACGTTTTTTAAAATATAATGGGGTATCATGCAATTTTTAAAATACAGAGAAATTTTACGCTGAATTTTGAAATCACAGGGGAGTTATAAGCAATTTTACCTTAATATTATATTTGTAGATAGTACAAAATAATGAAAAAAGATAGAAATGCCCTTAAGTCATTGATAAAGTATTAAAAAGTAAACTAATATTAATTAATACAAACACTAATCTAATTTTAAAAATATACATTACTTAATACATAATCAATTCAAAAACGCATAATATAGTTGTTTAATACATAATTAATATCAATAGACAATATTACACTTAAATAATGTGAACACACAATTTTTTCACAAACATACATCCACTTGTGGCCACGGACAGTGCAACACCAATTACATTCATCTCCCTATTTTTCACCTGAAAAAGAGAATTATACAATAGTTTTTCAGTTTTTCTCGTAACAAAATATTAATATCCCTCAATTTAATAATTTCATTTCTCTCTCAAACTACATCTATAAATACATCATTAATAGCAATGAATTTGAAGATAAAATTCATTACCTCAAATGACGAGAACGAAGAATCTAACGAGCGAGGAACTCAATAATATAGCACAATTTTTGTTAGAAAACAACAGGAATCGAAGGCCCGCACATGGAAAGATCAATGAGCAACAATCAAATTCGGTGTTTCACGCAATGTAGTACGTAGAATATGGAAAAGAGTCATGCAACAACAAGAATCAAGTATGCCAATCAATTTAAACAACCATAAAATAGGTAAAGGGCGTGAAAAGAAACACATTCTCGACAACACAACCATGCAAAAAATTTCCGTACAGTAAGCGTGGCAGTTATCGTAGTGTGGCACATGAAATGTGTGTTAGCAAGTCCACTGTCGGAAGGTGGGCCAAAGATGGTCTGATCAGGCACCACAGTAATGCCATAAAACTAGCACTGACAGCAACCAACATAATCAACAGATTGAGATTCAGTCTGAATCATGTCGAAGTGGGCCAAGATATGAATGTCATCAGGTTTAAGAGCATATCTAATGTTGTACACATAGATGAAAAATGGTTTTATATTACTCGTAATACTGAAAAATATTATCTCACCCCCGATGAGTTTGATCCTTATAGGGTCTGCCAAAGCAAAATGTTCATTACAAAGGTAATGTTTATGTGTATTGTGAGCAAACCCTTATATGGAGAAGAAGGGCAATGCATTTTTTTTTATAGGAAAATAGGTATTTTTCCTTTCACAAGACAAGTTCCAGCTAGAAATAAATCAAAAAACCGACCTGTTGACACCTTGGAAACAAAGCCAATGGATTCAATCACAAAGGAAGTCACCAAGCCACTAATAATCAATGAGGTATTACCACTTTTACATATGAATATAGTTGAGTATGAGTTCCACATTAATGCATGTCCAAATATATGCAGTTACTTCCAATGATTAAAGCGAAATGACCAGCAAGAGCAAGCAAAAACATTTTAATACAACAAGACAATGTCAAACCACACATTCATGACAGTGATCCGGACTTTAGGAAGGCTGCAAGCAGCGATGGATTTGATATCCATCTCACTTTTCAGCCATTAAACAGTCCCGACAAAAATATAAATGATTTGGGGTGGTTTCGAGCACTACAGTCACTACAAGTTTCAACCATATCGTCAAACGTGGATGAACTGTTACAGGCGGTGCATAGATCTTTTGAGCAACTATCCGACACAACTTTAAACAATGTTTTCCTAAGCTTGCAAGTTTGTCTTAGGGAAATAATGGCATGCAATGGGGGCAACAACTACAAGATTCCTCATATTGGTTCTGATCAATGAGGTGATTTAGGGACACGGGACTTTCGCTCTCAGATTATAAAATCATCATTGAGTACAAGGGACAACGTTAAAACATTCTTTCAATGTATAGATCATTGAATACCTGAATTCAATAAATTGTTAAGAAATGTATTGAATCAAATAAGGGACCATGCTCACGTTGAACGAGCGATGACTTTATACTAGGTATAAGTCTAAAAAAAACTTGTTTTTATGCAACAGTAAGCCACCTACTAATTCAAATCACTAAAGGCTTAAAAATTTCATTATCTCAGGCTATTCATACCAAGAACCAACAATGACTTGCCACACAAATTTTGTACACACACATAATCAGGGACAATCAACTAAGCCACGATTTTTCGCAACAAGTATATCGATTTATACCTCACATGTAGAGATCATACCATCCAACATGTAGGATAGTAAATCATTTACCCAAATGATTTTCAGTTTTGCCTACAAACAACAACAAACGAAAATTAATAAGTTCATTAACAAAAACCAACAAGCTCACTCACGGTACGTTAAAAAAAAATTAGGGCAACATCTCCAGAGTTTGAAGATAATGAAATCTACCAACCTCCAACACCGTACTCCAGTGGCTCGACGGCGAGAGGGCAATATATACGAAGCATATCGATGACAACTCCACGGGTAGAAGAACAACTGAATGGAGCCACTTCGATCCTACCTTAGGTCGACGAAGAAGGTATCCGAAATAGCGATCGCCTGGCTCGAACAAGGGCAACACTGGAATCAACCTCCGGCTCGGAATCATGGGCGAATCCATGGAGCACCATGGGATTAGTGTTCGTGGTAGTAGATCCAGAGAAATCGGGGACGAAAAAGGCATCGACGACGGCCGATTCGGAGGAATCGTTAGAGTCACTAAACAACTCTGAAAACCCATCCACAGAGCGTAAACGATACCTCTCGAGGGGGGAGCGGCCCTCCGCCACTGCAGGGAAGCGTGGGGCGAACGACATCACTGGAAAAAATGAGTCGGAAAAAAAGGGACGACAACAACGGCGAAGAGGATCGCGAGGGTTATAAACCCTAATCGAGAGGAAGGTGGGTGAGAGAGTAAAATTGATGGTGGGTTGGATAGATATTAGATGGGTAGGTAAGTATAAAATTAATGATGTGAGTATTAAATGTGTTTTAATTTCGTTATTTGTGTAAAAATATAGAATGTGTGTATAATAAAATGTAAATACAAAAGTATTTGTTATTTTAAATGTGTATAAAAGTTTCTAAAATAAGAAACGGTAACTTTATAATAAAATGTATCAAAATGGATAGTGACAACTTGCTCTAGGACGGAAAGAGTACATACTTTATAAGTAGACGGTAGAGACTATAATATTCCATTGAACGGAAATTGTATTTAAATTCAAAATTCAAACACAGAATTTAAAGTCTCAAACAAACACGTACTAATGGTCTCGTGCTCAGCGAGGAGTTTCTCAAATTAAATATTAATATCCAAAAACAGTTAAAATTTCAGCCACACACATAAAATTCTTCTATAAATCAATCAAACCAATTCAATCGTCTAGGTCAAACCAGTCCGCCGCCATGGGCCACCCAGCCACCGCCGCGGCCGCCGCCGCCGATCTCCCGGCGCACATCCTCATCTTCCCGCTGCCGATGCAGGGCCACATCAACTCCATGCTCAAGCTAGCAGAGCTCCTCTGCCTCTCCGGCCTCCACGTCACCATGCTCCTCTCTGACTACACCCACCGCCGCCTCCGCCGCCACGCCGACATCGAGTCCCACTTCTCCCGCTACTCCGGCTTCCGCGTCGCCACCATCTCCGACGGCCTCCCCGACGACCACCCCCGCGCCGGCGAGCGCGCCATGGATATCGTCATGAGCCTGGTCAAAGTCGGCGGATCCGAATTCCGGCGACTAATCGAGACCACCGACGCCCTCAGCGACGGCGGTTCACGGCGGCGCATCAGCTGCCTAATCATGGACGGCGTCCTGAGCTTCGCCGTGCCGGTGGCGAAGGAAATCGGCATTCCGGTGATATATTTCCGTACCGTCGGCGCCTGCTCCTTCTGGGCCAATTACTCCTTCAAAGAAGTCATCGCCGCCGGCGAAATTCCCCTCAAAGGCACAAACCCTAATCCCCAATCCTCCACAAAAGAAAAAAAAGAAACTTTTTTCCATTTGGATAGAATTAAGACAAAATTGCTTACCATATTTGAAAAGTTTACACAAGTTTTCCTTATTTTAAAAAGTAGTATGAGTTTATATAGTTTTAATTTAAAATTAAATTTTTGATTTAAATAATACAATAAGAGAATTTTTTTAATAAAAATATTATATTTTGATGGAGAAGTACCGAAATTAAAAGCTAACAAATCCCATTTGAAAATGATTGTTTAATTATTATCATAATTATTTTTTTTTTATAATTTGTATAATATTTTTGAAAAACAGAATTTTCATTCAATTTATTGGGAATTTTAAGCAATACTTTTTAGAAAAAATAAGAAAGTCTCGTATAGACCTTTTAAGTGAATTATAAACAATTAATTTAAAATTAATTAAAATAACAATTATGGCGATAGCAGGTAAAGAGGAGGACAAATATTCGTACGCGAGCAAGCCGGAGCTGGATTTTCCGGTGACAAGCGTGCCGGGGATGGAGGGGTATCTCCGGCGGCGGGATCTGCCGGCGTTCTGCCGTGTAAGTGATGTGAACGACGCTGGATTCAACACGATCATAACAGAGACACGGCGGACGGCGCTGTCGGACGGTTTGATCCTGAATACATTCGAAGATTTAGAAGGTCCGATTCTCGACCAAATCCGGAATCAAATTCCGGTGGTTTATTCAATCGGACCTCTCCATTGTCGTCTCGAGAAGGAGGCGACTCTTCCTTCTAGTAGCTTCTGGGAAGAAGATCACGGTTGTATGGCCTGGCTCGACTCTCAGCCCGACCGATCTGTACTCTATGTCAGCTTCGGCAGCGTCACGTTACTCTCCAAAGAAGAACTTTTGGAGATATGGTAATAAATTGTTTTCAATTATTTTTTTTTAAATAGAAACTATGACCCTATTTAATTATGATTATATTTATTTATGTCTAAAAATGATTTCTAATTTATAATATCGTTTTTAAAAACAAATATCTTAAATGAGGAAGTATTTTTCGGTACAAATGGATTTTTTGGAGTTTTGTAGTAAATTAAAAAATAATAATATTTTATTAATTAGTGGAAATTTTTGATATTTTTGCCTTTTGATTTTATCTAAAAAGTAATTGTATGTGTAATGGTATGTTCGTAATTTAGGTAAAAGATAAGGGTATTTTGGTATTGATGTATAATTAATTTTACTAAATTAGGAGATAAATACTTTGAAATGAGATGGACGAAAATGGTAGAAAAAATACTTTAGTTAAAATTAAATTGCAAAAGTTCATAAATTCTTTTAAAAAATTATTTTTCTATATAACTTATGCTTTATTCGAAATATTTGTTCGTCGTCGATAGGTACGGTTTGGTGGATAGCGGGCAAAGATTTTTGTGGGTGATGAGGCCGGACTCTATAGTCGGGGGCGACGGGGGAAGCCCCTCCATCCCCGTGGAGTTGGAAAAAGCCACGAAGGCGAGAGGGTACATGGTAGGATGGGTGCCCCAAAACAAGGTTTTGGCGCATCCGTCTCTTGGGGCATTTTTCACTCACAGCGGATGGAATTCCACACTCGAGAGCATTGCGGCCGGCATACCGATGATTTGTTGGCCTTATTTTGCCGATCAAATGATCAATAGCCGTTTTGCCAGTGAAGTTTGGAAGGTGGGGTTGGACATTAAGGACACTTGTGATCGAGCGATTGTGGAAAAGACAGTAAGGGACGTTATGGAAGTACGGAAGGATGAGTTTTGGGAAAGGGCACGTCAAATGGCTGAGTTGGCGAAGAAGGCGGTGAGCGAGGGCGGGAGCTCGTATTTGAATTTGAATCGGCTTATTGAGTTTTTGAAGTCTTCTATATAATGAAATGTGTGTATTTTGTTGTTTCGATTTCGATAAAAGAGTATCTCTTGTAGTCAGATTCCTTATTACGTTTATGATTGTCTTTTGAATTTTTACTATAACAACTGGTTACCTTTCTCATTATATTTAATAAGAGATACATTTATTCAGTATTTATTTACTTTCTCAAAAATCGATTATCTTTAACAAAAAAAAAAAGTAATAAAATATTATTAAAAAAATTTTAAAATTTCAAAATTTTAAATTTTAAACTTATCAGAGAATTATCTAATATATATGTTGATTTATTCGAATAATTTCAATTTTTTAATGGTAACTTATATGTTTCAATATATTAAAATTTATATATATTAATATTTAAAAATTATAATATAATATTATATAAAAATATTATTAGTCAATAAAAAATATAGAAATAAGTATAAATAGATAAATTATTTATATATTCTATGTAATCAAAATATATAGAAATAAATAAATTAGTGCGGGTCCTAGAAAATAGTAAAGGTAATATGTTGGAGGTAATTACTATAACGAGTTATAAAGAAAATAATTTAAATATTAAGATAAATATAATGTGAATGAAAGAGATAAAAGAGATAATGAAGTAAAGCCTGCAACAAATGCTCTAACGACGATGAAAAGCTTAAGGCAGTTTTGGTTGTTGCCTCTAGGACTAAATGTTCTATTTTTATTGTTATCACTTTGTTTTGGTAGATTAATTATTGAATTTGAAGTAAGAAATAAGTGAATAATCAAAATTGATGAAAGGAACAATGGGTTTGTCTATTTTATATTTTTCAACAGCACAATTCTTTGTACGTATTATTAAAAATATACTCTCTTCGTCCCATAACAAAGTATTTATTTTTTCATTTTAATTTGTCCCATAACAAAGTATTCATTTCATTTTTTAGTAATTGTACTATCTACCTAACATTACAAATACACTTACAACTTACAATATATTACACAAATGTCATTACCTTTATATCACACATATTAATAAGGTTATTTTAGTCATTTTTATTATATTTCTACTGTATCTTAATATAATACTAATATTTCTAAAACTAGGTGCAAAAAACAAATAAAAATTTACTTATGGGACAGAAATAGTATTATATTGACACATTAACACAATATACAATATATAAAATTTAACCAAATTTTTATTTTTTATATTACTAGCACAATTCTCTATGTCTAACATAAAAGAAATTGATTGAAAACACAAAGTGATACACCCTAGGTATATTTAGGATCCTAAAGTTTTTGTTTTGTTTGTGTTTGGGTTCGATATAAATTTTTTAAAACATATATTATATAATATTTTGTTAGAAAAATTATTGTATTTCTATTGATAATCATAGAAAGTTTCATTCATCCAATATTTTCAGATGGATTGGTTTTTTGTGTGATTGATTTTTTTGTGTGTAATATGATAAGTTATGTTAAAAATATAAAATATATTATTTTAAGTTGAATATTTGATTTTTTGTAAGGAGTATTTATTTATTTTTATTTTTTTAATGAGTATTTGAAATTTTTTGACCTTTTGAATTTTGTAAAAAATATTTTGTATATATTATTACTATTATTTGGAAATCGTAATTAAAAAAAAATGTTGAAAGAATTGAGCCAAAATTACAATTGAGTTCAAAAAAAAAAAAAAGAACTTAGATATAATTAAATAACACGAGTCGATAAAGAATATTAAAATAGTATAAGCTTAAATTTATTCACTTAGTTATTTATTATTTGACTACACAATTTTAATTTTCTTTTTTTTATAAAAAAAGAAACTGATATTATATAATCTTTATTTATTTTTATGTAGATGATCACATTAATGAACTATTTTGCTATATATAGAAGAAAAAAAAAAAAAACTCTAAAAAGAGAAAACCAATTTACAACAACATAAAGATGAAGCCAAATTTTGTGCCAAATTTTGTGGTGGCCATAGGAGACAACCCATTCAAAAAAAAGTATACGTTTTTCCAGGTTTTCACGTCATTACAAAAAAAAAAAAAAAAAAAAACTTGATTGATGTTAAGATTATTTTGTTCATATGTTCACACTATATATAACAATATATATTTTTTTTTAAAAAAAATATGTATACTTGATGTTATCCCGTAAGGAATGACCTGATAGTGTGGGGATGAACTCGTGACCGTGAGGTAATTGGTTCAAATCTCGATGCTTTCAAATTTTTTCTGCCACATATGGTTCACTTAGTATAACTTGTTTTGTCGAACGTAGTTTGTAGACTATTAAGTTCGGCTGAAGGTTCACCCAGAGCGCATCCAAATGATAGCTGGTGTGGGTTCCATATAAAAAAATATACTTTAAGTTTGATTTTTATTTTAATTTTGAATATTGAAAATAATATTTTATAAGAAAAACAAATGTATTTTTATATGAATTATAACAATTGCATAGTTGCGGGGAATTTTGGCCGTTCGAGGCTTAACCTGACAAGTCCCTCGATAAATAAATAAGTTGGTCTACTCCGTAGTCCGATCCACTGGATTTGACCCAAACCCTTTAACCTAAACCCATTTATCAAACTCAATTTGTTAGGTTGTTATGTTGATTAAAAGCATGTCTGATTTTTTAGTTTGAAAAAGTTATTAAAAGTTAGTTTAAAGGGATTTTTAAGGGTGAGGTGTATGTGACGATCACTCCATCCAACCGTAGGAATCAGAGAGAGGGTGAGAGCCGAGAGGGAGAGGGAGAGAAACCGATAGGTTGCGGCGAGTGATTCCGGTGAGTGTCGAACCCTTTTCGATGGCCGATTTCGGTGGCGTCGAGGTTTAGAGTGACGCGCCGGCCTCCACTTTGAAGCGTGGTTACCTCGGGCCATTCTCGTACCAACTGAGCCGAAGGTCGCGTCCCTAACGCCGGCGAAAGAAGATCGAAAAGATCAGAAGAGTTTGGAGAAGATGATCGGAAGACCTGCACTCCAGTCCGTCCGTTGCTATTTCGGTGCAAATCGCCAGAGGGAGCTGCTTGTTCGGGTCCGACCGCCGCTGGAGTTCGCCGCTGTTCAGCCGCCTTCCGCGGTTCCCTGCCAACCACCGCCACGTTTGCTGGTGTCGTCGTCGATCGTCGTCTTTGTCCGATTTAGAAATCGACAAGCAGGAAACTTAAGTTTCTTGGATGGAATCCGTTACTGAAATTTGAGACCAAACAGGGAAGTTCAAATCCTAATTGAAATTCAATCTCGTATTCTGCAATTGAGTCTGGGAAGTATTTGTTTGATTTCCAGAATGATATTATGCCTAATTCTTTGTGCTTAATTTCAATTTCTTTTCGGTTATAAAGATTTGGGTTTATTCGATTTAATTTGCTTTCGTTATTACTAATTGATTTCGTATTTTGTATACGAGGTTTGTTCGATAAATCCAAAGATTCGGAAATAAATTCACAACAATAAACAAAACTAAAAAGACACACAATACCAAGCCAAATATCTTAAAGTTGGTATATCAAAACACTAAAATCGAGCTTCTTTATAAGATCGTAGACTTCAAGAACTCAATAAGCCGATTCCAATTCGCATAAGAGCTCCCGCCCTCGTTGATTGCCTTCTTCACCAACTCTGCCGTTCGACGAGCCCTTTCAAAGAACTCATCCTTCCGAACTTCCATGACATCCCTCACCATCCTCTCAACGATCGCTCTATCACAAGTGTCCTTCATGTCCAAACCTATCTTCCAAATTTCACTGACAAAACGACTATTGATAGTTTGATCGGCAAAGTAAGGCCAACAAATCATCGGTATCCCAACCGTAATACTCTCTAGCGTTGAATTCCATCCACTGTGAGTGAAAAATGCCGCAAGGGAAGAATGCATCAAGACCTTGTTTTGGGGCACCCACCCCGCCATATGCCCTCTAGCCTTCGTGCCTTCTTCCAACTCTGCGGGGACTACAAAGCTTTCCCCGTCACCCTCGACTATTGAGTCTGGCCTCATTGCCCACAAAAATCTTTGCCCGCTATTTACCAAACCGTACCTGTTATTATAAATAGTATGAATTAACTACAAACTCAAATCTATATACGTATTGTTATTTTGTTAATGAATTCTTTAGAGAGTAATTTATCGTAAAAGAATTCGATTTTAATATCGTATGATAGCGTACATCTTTCTTGTAGTTATAGTAACATAATCATACTCTTTCCTAATAAGCCTTGTAATCCTATTATATTTCACTATTAGTACAGAGAAAATTGCAAAAATATCATTCACTTTTGCTCTTTATTTATTTCGTTGCCAAAATATATTATGTATGTTTGCAAAAGTCGAAATTTTTGTTCTCTGGTAGTGTGTCATATTCACATGACGGCTGTTCCACGCACGGCCATGTGCAACCGGATGATAAAAATGACAAATTTTGCAAACATATATGATATATTTTGCTAATGAAATAAATAAACCATAAAATTGATAATTAAGTATGCATAGAAGATAGCATCTTCATCATTGGCATTGCTAAAAAAAAAATTAAGATACTAATACGAGGTTTTTTTGGAAAGTAAAATAATAATTAGTCCAAAACAAACAATATTATACTAGTGGAGTTAGACGAGTCCGAACAAGTGTCATCTTTCCTAGAAAATTCAATTTCACAAACTAAGATAGAGATATGAATTAGGCATTACCATAACTCCAAAAGTTCCTTTTTGGAGAGTAACGTGATACTTCCGAAGCTGACATAGAGCACGGACCGAGCGGGTTGGGTGTCGAGCCAGGCCATGCAAGCGTGATCTTCCTCCCATAGGCTAATAGCCGGAAGGGATCGATTCTTCTTGTCGGTTTCGAGTCGAGCTTGCAAATGAGCGTGAAGAGGGCCGATGGAGTAAAGAGTGGGGATCGGTTTGCGGATTTGATCGAGAATGGGACCTTCTAAATCTTCAAATGTATTCAAAATTAGTCCATCAACAAGAGACGTTTGTCGGGTCTCGGTTGCAATCATGCTAAATATAGCATCGTTTACATCGCTTACTCGGCAAAACCCCGGAAGATCACGGCGCCGGAGATAGCCCTCCATCCCCGGCACACTAGTCACTAGTAAATCCAACTCCGGCTTGCTCCCGTACGAATATTTGTCCTCATCTTTACCTATATTCATCTAAATTTTATTAAATGATCATTTCACCTAAAAATTTAGGTCAGTAAAAATATGTCTTCATTAATTACATATTATATATAGGGATGACAATGGATCGGGCTGGGCCGGACCCAAGATTCAAATTGGACCTGATTGTACCCGAATTCGATCATACCCAGACCCGACCTGAACAATAACCAAGACACCCAAAAAATCTTTTAATATGTTTAAAATTTAATTTAAAATTGTACTTGAACACGGCCCGATATATATTAAAATTTATATATTTTATTCAAAAATATTATAATAAAATAATAAATAATAAATAAATTAAACTAAAATCATATTTCTAATATAATTTTTATAATTAATTTTTTTTCATATATATAATGAATATATTAGTAATATATCAATCAAGTCCGAGTAGAGTCCACCTTTAGACCTGAGATCCGACCCGAGACCCGATAAGGTTACCCGATACCCGATACCTGACCCAGACCCGATACCCAAACAATCGGACCCGATTCCAAATAAATAGGTCTGAGTTGGAGTCGGAGTCGGAGTTGGGTCTCGGATTTACCCGAACCCATTGTCATCCCTAATTATATAGCGTTACCTTTCAGGGGAACTTCTCCGGCTTCGACCACTTCTTTGAAGGAGTAATTAGCCCAAAAGGCGCAAGCGCTGACGGTACGGAAATATATGATCGGAATGCCGATTTCCTTGGCCACCGGCACGGCGAAGCTGAGAACGCCGTCCATGATCACGCAGCTGACGCGCCGCCGGGAGCCGCCGCCGCTGAGGGCGTCGGTGGCCTCCATTAGTCGCCGGAATTCTTCTCCGCCGACTCTCATCAGACTCGTGAGGATGTCGAGGCTGCGCTGGCCGACGCGGGGGTGGTCGTCGGGGAGGCCGTCGGAGATGGTGGCGATGCGGAAGCCGGAGTATTGGGAGAAGTGGGATTCCACGTCGGCGTGGCGGCGGTGGTTGTGGTCGGAGAGGAGCATGGTGACGTGGAGGTGGGAGAGGCAGAGGAGCTCGGCTAGCTTCAGCATGGAGTTGACGTGGCCGTGTAACGGCAGAGGGAAGATGAGGACGTGCGGCGGGAGACCGGCGGCGGCGCCGGTTGCTTGGTGGCCCATCGCGGCGGCGCTTGCAGATGCGGTTTGATGCTGTTTCAAATTGTATGGTTTAATAAAATAGTAATGCACAGATAGTACTGCTCAATCAAGTTTAATAAAATAGTAATGCACACATACCAACATGTTCCTTTACAATTATTTATTTATTTATTTTTATTATTATTATTATTTTTTTTTAATGACGTGGGAACCCGCGACCACTACCCAGGTACTGGGTAAATTCCGAACCAAATTTAATATCATGCAAACTAGATCCGACGGACAAATCACACTAGACGATTACAATTATTAAAAATATATACAAAAGATAGATATGTTTAATTAGAAACACGGTTATTTATTAAAGTAGATTAATAAATTATTATTATTAATGAATTATAATATTATTTTATTATTTTTTATAGGCTAAATTGTACAAAAATTATACGTAATTTCATGAAATTGGTCAAATATCCTGTATTTCTAAAACTGCATAAAACTCTCTCATGGTTTCATAAACGGTGCGTCTAACCCTCTTAGCGGTTCTTATTTAACCGTATTTGACTTAAATGCGCCCAAACTGTGAATAAATTTTAGAATCTCAAATTTCTAAACCCCTAAAATTACAAATATATTCATTTTTTTTTATATTTAGTCTAAAAAAATAATAAATATACTAAAAAATAGTTATTTTCCTGAGGGTTTAAGAGTTTATTTTTAATTTTTTTTAGTTAAATATAAGAAAAATAAATACTATATTTGTAATTTTAGGGGTTAGAAATTGAGATTCTAAATTTTATTTACAGTTTGGGCGCATTTAGATCAAATACAGTAAAATAAGGACCGCTAAGGGGGTTAGACGCAGAGTTTATGATACAACGAGGGTATTTGACACAATTTTAGAAGTATGGAAGATTTGACGCAATTTTGTAAAACCACAGGTGAATTTTGTGCAATTTAACTTTTTTATATATTAATAGTATTTTTGGTGTTTTAAAAATATGAAATAGCATACGTGGTTAAAAAAAATTAGAATATTCCTTTGTTTTTTTTTTCTTTTTTCTTTTCACAAGTTTCCAAAAAAATAAAAACTTAATGCATTATGAATATTTATTATTTTTATATTTTCTATTCAAATCTCTATACATTATTCTTTTTTTTGAACAATCTCACAAAAAACACTCTATGTGTTTAAATATTTATAAGATTATATCTCAATAAAATATTATATAATACAAGCGGAATATCCGTGCGCAAGTGAAATCAACGAATTTCTTCATATATTATATATATTTTTAATCAATATAAAAAAATAAAATAATATCAATGAATTATACTATCTCCGTCCAATTATAAAATAAATATTTAATTTTGTAGTATTTTACTTTTATTTTTTAATTAAATATAAGATTATAATATAATAGTATTATTTAAAATAATTTTGATTGCAAAATAAATTACATTTTAAAAATTGGGTAAACCGTTTTTTAGTCCCGTAACTTGACTCCCTTATCATTTTAGTCCCGTAAGTGGAGCCTATCGCAAATTAGTCCCATAAGTGAAAAATTTTCGTTGTTTTAGTCCTCCGACGACGGAGATGTCCGCGTGGCTCGCCGGAGGTGACATGTCCGCCAGGTGTCTCGCCAGGTCAGCGACACCTGGCGGACACGTGGATTTATTTATTTATTTTTATTTTTTAATTGTTTTTTTTAATTGGACTAAATAAAAAAATAAAAAAATAAAATTAAAATTAAAAATAAATTAAAAATAAGTTTTTTAAAAAATTTTAAAAAATAAATAAATAAATGAAAAATCCATGTGTCCGCAAGGTGTCGCTGATCTGGCGGACACGTCACCTCCGGCAAGCCACGCGGGCGTCTCCGACGCCGGAGGACTAAAACAGCGAAAAGTTTTTACTTATGGGACTAGTTTGCGACAGGCTCCACTTACGGGACTAAAATGATAAAGGAGTCCAGTTACGGGACTTAAAAAAATAGTTTACCCTTAAAAATTTAACATAATTTTTTTATATCTTCTTTATAATCGTAATTACAAATAAAAATGATTTATCAATATATACGTTGTAATTCTAAAATAATTTAAAACCCAAGTCTATGGTTTTTTTAAACATATATATATGTATTTACATAATTATTTTAAAATTAGTAAAATATATGCATTCATCTTTGGATAGTATTTATATATTTATTTTAAATTTATTTTATCATTTTTAAATACAAATATATTAAAAATTAATTAATAAAAAATATATTCAAAAACTTAAAAAATAAAGGAAAAACAAACAAAATCTTCACTACACCCATAACAACAATTTTAACACATCTTCTGATTTAAGAAGCTGCCGCCTGATTTTCTGCAAGCTCGAACTAAAAATATCATCATCATCTACCATCATCCACTAATTCTCGGCCAAACACACGCACCAGATAGAGCCGGCATCAGTCTACCTCTGCAGACACCCACATCAGCCACGACTGTTCGAGCACAAACTTTTCCGGAAAGAAATATGTAATATAAATTATGATTTACATTATATATTTGGAATAAAATATGCAATATAACTAAAATAATTTAAGGTTAAAATAACAATTTAATTTATTATGAATAAAATTAATTAAAAAATTATTATTTATATACATATAACAATTTCTAATTTTTACAATTTAAAGAATAAAATCAATTCCCCAGATAATTTAATTACAATATTGTAACTCTCTGTGATTAAAAAAATAATAAAAATAACATATAACTTAATATAAATTATGATCAAATTGCTAATAAGAATTTAAATTACATTTAAATTTATAATAAAATAATTTTTATATATATGACAAATTAAAAAATCACCAAACCTATCACTAAACACCTGCATTTATCTTCTTTTTTTTTTCTTTTTCCTTCTTTGTTCCCGTTTTTTCTTTTTTCTGGTCTGTTTTTTCTTCTTAACATTCCTCTCTTTTCTGTACCTTGGATGCTACAACTGAAAGCAAATCACTATGGAAAGAATTTAAATACAAAATGCAAAAAGGATAACCATAAATAAATTCAAAATTTCAATTTCAACGTCCAAAAAATAACCTCGTGAAAAGAAAATATTAGGCAATGGAAGAAATCTACAAACCTAAACAAAATTTAGAAATAAAAGCGAGCGAATCCTCCAATTAGAAAACAACTTTATAACTTTTGTTCTGCGCCACACCAAAATAAACAATTTAGAAAATAACAAAAAGACACAATAATCAATACAAAAAGTATCAAAACAATTGTAAAAAATTGAGAGAATATGAAAAGAAAATAAGAAAATTGTTAAAAATAAAATGAAAATTTTAGAAAATTGTGATTACTCAACTCATTTATAAACACTATGAGTAAAAATTAGTTTTCCTACTAACACTAACATTTTGAGAAAACCGTAAAACCACCTCATTTTTATTGATAAAGAATTAAAACGGTAATTAAAAAGAAAAAAATCTTAAAATTCTAAAATTGCAAGATTGCATAAATATTGAAAAAAGTGGGGTCCACGTTGAGCTATTATATATATATATGATATGATATGAATATTATTTATAAATAATAGATTTTATATAATACAATAAATATTTATTCATTTATTTATAATGAATTAAAATAGTTTTTATATAAAAATCTAATTAAATTGATTTATAATACAATAAAAAAAATGGTTATTTGTGGCTGGGAATATAATCAGTTTGTTCACTCAACATTTTGTTGGAAAATCGGTTAATTATTTAATCGATGAAATTTAATTTTAAATTAAATTCATAATTTTCGGAACCGATTATTCGGTGAGTTAAAATGTCACAGGCGCGCATGCCACCTGTCCGGACCAGATAATTACATGCATATATAATAAATAATTATTTGAAATTCAAATAATATATTTATGATCTAAATTAAATTTGATTTTTATGACCGGAATTAAATTGATGTTTATGACCGGAATTAAATATGGTGTTTATCGTCGGACGTTCCCGGAATTTAATTATCGTCAGCGGTTTTGACTCGGGCGATAATTGCCCCGCTTGATGGAGGTGCCTATAAAAGGCCCTCTCCACCACCCCACTGATACAACACACCATGAGGAGTTCTTCCTCTCTAATCCTCTCCACCCCACACAATTTTCAGCGAGTTTTCCGGCAAGCTCCGGAATCTATATTTACCTAACTTTTCGACATAGCTTAAGCCCCTTATTTTAGTTCGTCGGAGCTCCGAAATATTTACTACCAGAAAATTAGGCTATAGCTGCGGTAAAAAAAGTCACGGTTTTAGTACAAATTGGTGACTTTTTACTAAAAAGTCATGGAAAAATATACGGAACTATTTCCGTTGAATTTTGCTGGTGACTTTTTTTAAGTGGTGACATTTCTTTGACAATAAGTTATAGAATAATACCATGACATGTCCGTGACTTTATATAGCAACAGAAGCTACAACAAAATTTCGTAAATATTTTATAATTGTGATATTTTCGTGACAATAAGTTACAAAATAATACCATTACAACTCTGTGACTTTATATTAACGAAAGCTGTAAAAATTCCGTGATTTTATATTTTTGAAAAAAAAAATTATATTATAATTTGTGTTCAATGCAACCACACATGCCAACTTAGCTATCTACTCTAACGTATTACTTTTTGTTTGTTATTATATTTTAACTATATAAATATTATTGATTATAAATTTATCTTTTAAAAATATATACATATTTATTTAATATATCATCATGAATTTTTAACAAAAAATTGAATAGCTACGAACGATATTGAATAAAGATATTGAAGATGATTTTATTATTTTGTTATTACTTTGAATAGCTACAAACAATAATAAGAAAAATTTATAGTTATTTTCGTTACTTATGTTGTGAAATTTGATTTTAAAAAGTCACAAAAATTATATTATGACAATATCTGTAATAATTTAAAATGTTGGAAATATTTTGATTATTTTTGCCGCAACTTAAAATAGTCAAGAAAAAATTTCGTGACGATTTTTGTGACGAAATAATCAAAAGACACGGA